TCACTAGCCCTTGGTAGTCGTCAGGTTTCCAGTACCAGCCATAGTTTCTTCTTGTAGAGGTGGCCCTCGGTCCAATTAGAGTGCTGTTGATTACTGCCAAAGTATGCATGCCACTATTGCTCTCTTAGGGTTTTTGTGCTACGCTGTTCTTCGTTGTGAGGTAGGGTAGAACCCTTGGTAGCTTCCCTTCTTTGAAAGCTTGCACCTTTTGGTACATGAAAGGTTGTATTCAGAGACGAGACATTCAGATCAGAATCACTTCAGTGTCTTCTGGGCCTGTGTTGTTTTGATAGTCCTTTGAACAAACTTCACCTAACAATCAAATGAGGGCTCCTAAAGCCCAGGGATGGTGTTTATTAGATGGTCTATTGTTCTTGGGGTGGGGGCATTGAAAACTCAGATGGGAAAGCTTCATTTAAACTATGTATGTGTATTTAAAAACTAACCTCTGTGTATTGTATGTATTTTAGGTCATAATTAATATTATAGCTTATTATGAATTTTTCAGATATTCTTAATGTTTTTATAGCCCTCCTTTCACCATTTTCTGTATTTATATATCACCCTTTCCGTAGTTAGAGTCCTCCCACTCATTTTTTTTTCCGTTTCCCCCATCAGACCACTGTACCTTGCCATTCCCTTTTATTGCTCTTTTATCTTCTTCCCAACAGTGGTCCATTTTTACTTTACTGGTTTCTGTGTTTACTCCGGCATATGTATTCTCATGTGAAGATTTGGAGTTCAAAATCTCAGATGAAAAGAACATGCAATATTTGTATTTTGGGGTCAGGGTTATAACATTCAATATATCATTAAATAATTTCCTGACTTCAGTGCGATTGCTTCAAGTTTCCCTCCATTTGTGTTGGTGTTGGCTGTTGGTTTACCTATATTGCCTTTATTGTGTTGAGGTATGTTAACTCTAGTCCTTTCTCAAGGACTTTTATCATGAAAGCAGATTGGATTCTCTCAAAGGCTTTTTCCTGCATCTGTTTAAATTCCTTTATGTAGGTTATTGATGTATTCATGGTAACCCATTCCTGAATTTCAGGAATAAAGCCAACTGGTTACAGTAAATAATCTTTTATTTATGTCTATATTTGGTTTGCAAATATTTTATTGAATAATCTATGTTCATCGGGGATACTGGCCTATAGTTCTTTTTTCTGTATACTTAGTTTTTAAACCATAATATGTCATGGGGTTTTTCATTTCTGGTCTTGTCCATTTAGTATTCTGTTTGTCTCTTGTATCTATATGAGTATATACACATCCTTAGTTTGGGAAAGTTTTCTTCTATGATCTTGAGGAAGATCTGGTCCCATTCATTGACTTGGGATTCTTGTCCTTCATGGATTCCTATAATTCAAAAGTTTGGTCTTTCCATGGTGTTCTGCGTTTCTTGTGTATTCATTTCATGTTTTTTTTCTTTTTACATATTCTCTGCCTATTACTCTACATCTTCTACTTTACCATTGAATCTTGATATTCTATCTTTTGTTTGATTTATTCTACCTGTAAGTCTTTGCTTTGAGTTTTCTAGTTGGGTTACTGGGGTTTTCAATTTCATCCTCATTTCAGCTTGCATCTTCTTCGGTGTTTCTATGTCTTTACTGAATTCCATTTTCAAATCCTGAAGTGTCTTAGTCATTTCCATCACCCTTATGTTTGTACTTTCTTGTACATTACCCTGACATTTGTTCTCTTTAGGTTCTTTTTCTTTAATTTCATTGAGCTGTTTCTTTTTGTCTTCTTTAAACTCTTTGAAATCTTTGATGAACTTTATGATTGTTCTATTAAGTTCTGTGTCCTATGATTCATAGAGGTAATTCTTATTGGCAAGAAATTCTACAGGAAAGCCAGACAGTGGTGGCGCTCACTTTTAATCATAGCACTTGGGAGGCAGAGGTAGGCAGATCTCTGATTTTGAGGCCAGCCTGGTCTACAGACCAAGTTCCAAGACAGCCAGAGCTACAAAGAAACCCTGTCTTGAAATCCCTCCCTCAAAAAAAAAAAATCTACAGGACTGGTGGTTTTTTGTTTGTTTGGTTGGTTGTTTTTATGTGCATGGGTGCCAGTAGTATTCCTGTGATCATTCATGTTGTTTGTGTCTTTCCAATGGTATCTGTGCCTGTGGACTTCTTTTATTAGTTCTATGTCTGACATGAAGAAAGCAGATTGGAGCATGAGAGAAGTGCACATCGGGTTGGGCCTAATGGTTGGTTACACCTTAGCTGGAATGAAGTAAGAAGGACATAGGTAACTGGGCTAATATGTAGAATGTGCATTCTCATCCAAACTTGGAGTGTGGGCATCGATGTGGGGTTTGGAGGAAGGTGTGTGGTGGCGAGGAACAAAAGGACTCATCTGGCTAATCCTAGAGCAGCATCTAGCCATATGGCAAGGTGGTTGTGGTATAGAAGGGAACTCTTGGTCAGGATCAGCCAGGTTGAGTCCTGGCAAAAGCCTAGAGTTTGCTTGCAGTCTAGTCAAGGGTACCCTTTCTAGTCTGGGGCACAGTATGTATGACACTAGCTATCTATGAAGGAGCTTAGGAGTGTGCTTAGAAGGGGAAATCAGGAGTCACTGAGCTACATCCTGGAGAAGGATATGTAGGATGTGGTTGAGTGGAGAGATTGGAAGTGATGTGGGAGGGGCCTATGTATCAGGGTAGGCAGGTTAGGAGGATAGGTCCTGGCCAAAGCCTAGAGGTTAGTTGTTGCACAGGGAGGGATGGTAAGAAAAGGCCCGGGAACTGGATGTAAAAGCTGGGCTGACTCTGTGGGGATGGGATAGGTACTAGAGGAATAGAAGGATTCACCCAGCTAGATCCACTCCCTCTTTTGACATCTCAGTGTGTCAGCCTGGCTATCCTCCAATTCAATATATAGACCAGGCTGACCTGAACTAACAAAGATCATCTTGCTTTAGACTGGAGTGCTGTGACTAAAGACATGTGTGGAGGCTTGAGTGAAAAATGGGACTCCCAGACTAATATATTTGAGTATTTGGTTCCTAGGTGGTGGAACTGTTTGGGGCAGGATTAGGAGGTGTGGCCTTGTTGGAGTGGGGTGTGTCACTGGGGGTGGGTTTTGAGGTTTCAAAAGTACATGCACATCAAGTCTCTCTCTCTCTCTCTCTCTCTCTCTCTCTCTCTCTCTCTCTCTCTCTCTCTCTCTCTCTCTCATGAATAAGATGTAAGCTCTCAGCCATTGTTTCCATGCCATACCCACTTGTTTGCTGTCTTGTCCCTGTCATGATGATCATGTACTCATCCTCTGTAAGCAAGTTTTCTATTATGCTTTCCTTTGTAAGTTTCCTTGGTCATTATGTCCCCTGCACAACAATAGAACAGTAACTAAAGACAGCATGTGTCACCACATTCGGCCTAAAACTGTTTCTAATATCTTGGAACAATGACCCACTAAGCTCTTAAATTTTAAAATTTCTTTTTATTGATCATAATGCACCCCTAAAGTAGTTCACAGATCTGTCAACAACTAAAACAAAAAGATTTATTTTATTTTATATGTGTGATATGTGCTTCATCTGTCTGTCTGTCTATGTGCCTGCTGCCAAAGGAGACCAGAGGAAGGCAATGGATTGCCTGGAACTAGAGTTACAGACAGTAGTGAGCTACAGTATAGGTGCTAGGAGCCAACTCTAGGTCCTTTGCAAGAGCAGCAGACAATCTTTATCGCTGAGTCAGTCTCTCCAATCCCTTGTCAGCAACCTTATTGAAGTATGCTCTTCTCTTTTGATTTATCATGGTTCTCAAACTGAAGAAACTGAATTTCACAACATTGCTAGTGGGAGTCAGGATATTCCAATGTCTTTCACTGCACATCAAGTCTCTCAGTGATCTCAGAATATTCCAGAATGACAATGCGGTTGGACAGAAATCCACATTCCACACCCAGATTCTGTGACTGAGATCCTACCTTGATCCATGCAAATTGTGTAATATTAGACAAGTCAGTGAATTATTTTGTGGTTCAGTTTTCTCAGAAAACTAAATGGGTGAATAACAGAAACCATGTAGAGTAAGGAGTCAGAGGCACTGTAAATTGTAACTTGTGGGTCCCCACATGGTATTGAATGTGTAATGTTTTCTCAGTTATAAATATTGTAAAGAAAATTAAATGACCTGTAATATGAAACAAAACACACAAGAGCACATGGTACTTATGTAAGCTATTGCTGTGTATACCATTGATTCCACTTTTGGGTTTTCTTGTGATTTCAAGTGTGTATATGCTAACGTGTGTGTGTGTGTGTGTGTGTGTGTGTGTGTGTGTGTGTGTGTGTGTGTGTGTGTGGTGTGGGGGTGTGGTGTGGGGGTGTGTGTGGTGTGTGTGGTGTGTGTTTGTGTGTGTGTGTGTGTGTGTGTGTGTGTGTGTGTTTGTATGTGTGTGTTGGCTCACTCTTGTGGTTTGAATGTCACACGTCCCCATAGGCTAATGTGTCTTAACATTTTCTTCCCAGATGGTGGTGCTATTAGAAGAGTTTGTGAAACCTTTAGGATCTGGGGCTTCACTGGAGGAAGTGGGCTTCTGTGGTAGGAGTTTGAGGTGGCTTTTTTTTTTTCTGTTTTGTTATTTGGATTGTTTTTGTTTTTCTTAGCTGTGCTTTCTTTCACTCTTCTATTTCCCTGATTTAGATGTGGACACTCAGTCCCACATTCATTGCCGTGTCTTTCCTACTAGAATGGACTGTATCCTATTGAATCACAAATAAAAATAAAGCTTTCCAACTTTACGTTGCTTCTTGTCATTTACTTGGTTACAACAACCAGAAAATTACTAATCTGCTCACCTAGTAAACTCTGTTGCTTAAGGAGGTTGTAATTAAACAATATTGGGAACCCTTATGCCAGTGTCTAAAGTGATCAAATCCATTGTTCTAAACACAGACACAGTTGGATAAGAAAGGCCTGCTGGGAATGGAATAGGAACGGCCATGTGAGCTCTGGCTCTAACTTCAATGTCCTTCTTTTACAGAGGGAGACCAAAGGGCAGTTTCTTATTGAACACATCTGCAACTACTACAGCTTGCTGGAGAAGGACTACTTCGGAATTCGCTATGTGGACCCAGAGAAGCAAAGGGTAAGAGCCTATCTTGATCTCCAAACTATGGGATTAGGGGGAGGCTCAGAATGTCAGGCACTGAGGGATCCTTTCCAGAAGCCTTATGGTACCTTTGTTCTCATGAATTATTGGCATGAGAAGTAAAACAGCTGGTGGGTGAGTGGCTGGAATACTACCTGACTGGAAGAAATAGGAAGACAAAAAGGCCTTTCAGAAAGCTGTTCTCACACGAAGAGAAGTAAGAAGGCTCCTATGCTCTTTGAATTTAGACTTTACAAACCTCCTCAGAATAGTTTCACATAATCTATTATGAAGAACCCTCCCCCATGCACACACCACAAGAACCTACTGGCGGAGGTAGGGGATGGACTTGGTAGGGAAAGGGTTTCCTTGTGGAATGATGGAAATGTTTGAAGTCTGACATAGATGATTCTTACCCAACATAGCCAATGCCACTGAATGTACATTTAAAAAAACGGTTCATTTCACATTATTTGGAAGAGACTTTGGGGTAAAATAGTGAATCCCTACATGGAAGCAGGCAAGAGAAGCTTGCATGTTGACCATCAGCAACACATGGCTTTAGGGAGGTCACTGGAATCCACAAAGTGCTTCCCTTCACACACAGTGGCATTGTATGAACAGTGAACTTGACTGACAAAAGCTGGGTACATAGCTGGAGAAGACAAGTAGCAGCAGAAGGCACTGAAATAGTGTAGGGATTGAATGTGTGTGTGTGTGTGTGTGTGTGTGTGTGTGTGTGTGTGTGTGTGTGTGTAAATAACCCAAGAAAATTGTTGTCAGTTTGACAGGGATTGAAGGAGCAGGAAACATTGGGAAGGGCTGGAGGAAGTAAAGGAAAGATGGGAAATGATGTAATTGTATTTTAATTAAAAAAATAGGATTAATCGACTTGTTTCCAATAAATGTATATCACTATCAAAACTAATCCCAAATTTCAGATAGAAGGATGAAAAAAGTATATCAAGGAAATAAAACTAGAAAGGAAAAAGTAGCTGCTCTTCTGGTACCTGAAAAAATAGATTTCAAATTAAAATTAGTAAAAAATACATAAAGAATATCTCTTGGTGACTTCATATGGATGAAGAAGACAATCTGCATTGCAGATTGCAATTCTAAACATAGATACTCTAAACACAGCTCTCAGAACAGAGTCAAGAAAACTTTGCACAGGAGGGAGATGTAGTCCCTGAGTTATAGCCTGGGCTGGGACCAGGGAGACAAAACAATAGATATGGAGATAAAAACAACATTAAGGTCAGTGATTTCATTTTCTCCTATCTCCCTCCACCCTGCTCTCCTTTCCTCCACCCCACAGCTATTCAGAATCTGCCAGTGTTTTTATTTTCTTACATCTTCACTCAGCTCTTCTCCCCCTACCAGTTGTTTATTTATTTCATAAAGCATATCAATGTAACAGGCTGACATTGTACCCCATTGTTCATGCCTGTTATCGTTTTGTACACACTCTCCCTCGGTCTCTTTTCTTTTTTTTTTACCTATTTTTTCTTTTTTCCCATATGCTTTCCTCTTACTGCCATATAGCCAAAGCCAAGAGGCTGACCTTACAGATATTGTAATATCTGAGCATTTATTCATTCACTTCTTTTAATCTATCATTAAACAAAACCTCTACATCTCTCCCCACTTTTTGCCTTCTTATTCTCATTCTTTTATATCTTTCTCCTCTTTCTCCCATCTAACAACAAAATACTAATCACTAGTCTATCTGATATAGCTTACTTCTGCTTCTCTTCACTTTTCCACACATATAAGTAATAACTAAAATTTTAATGTATACAATATTATAAGGGTTCTTTTACTTCTTAGATCAATTAGGATTTTACAAGTACCTGTTTTATAGTCACCTTATACTGTATTTTATCAGTAGGTTAACTACTGGATAGGAAAAATTGTAGAAAATTGTTCTCAACCCATAGGGGGCAGATTGGAGATAGAGCCTTTTACCTGGAAAAGAAGACTGATAGATGAAAATATCACTACAACTATACTACAACTGTCTTAGTTAGGGTTTTATTGTTATGAAGAGACACCATGACCACAGCACTCTAATAAAGAGGAAAACATTTCATTGGGATTGACTTACAGTTCAGAGGTTTAGTCCATTATTGTCATGGTAGGAAGCATGGTGGCATGCAGGTAGACATGGTGCTGGAGGAGCTGCGAGTTCTACATCTTGATCCATAGGCAACAGGAAGAGATTGTGACAAACTTCCTCCAACAAGGCTACACCTACTCCAACAAGGTCACACCTCCTAATAGTGCTACTCCCTATGGGCCTATGTGGGCTATATTTATTCAATCCACCACAACAACCTTCGGCTAGCCTCAGCTTCTTCTACATCCTCTGGCTTCAGCTTTGTAGGCTCTAAAATTATAGGCATGTGGTTCTGGGGCACCATGCTTGCATAATTTTGATTTGGTTTGATGTTTCCATTTCTGTGGATCAGACTCAGAGCCTTTTACATGCTAGGCAGGTATTCAACCACTGAGTTACAATCCAACCTCTTAAAACTGCATAGCTTGTGGACTCAAAAAGATGTGATTTGAAACCTTACTTCTTCTGGTTAGTAAGCTGTTTGACCCACCAGGTTATTTTACTTCTGTGCTCTTTCCCAGTGGAAACAATAAATAGAATATTTGCTTTATGACTCTTAAGAGAATTAGAATATGGCACATGACATATATTGACTGTGTTATATGTTGTTCTCACTGTGATTTGATGCTATTGCTTTATAATTACTATGCTTTGGCCAGGTCCAGGTAAGTAATTAGAGATGTGTTTAGAGCCTATGGAACATACAAGTGTTTGTAACTTCTTTTAAAGGTAAGAGGGATACTGTTAAGAGTCCTTGAGACTTATTTGTTTATAAAAATCTAATCAATAAAGAAAACCAGGTGAGCTAGAGAAGCAAAGTGTGTAGTTAGTGGGTTACCTGTACCTCCTCTCAGCTTCATTGATGGAAATCATTGTGGAATATTATTACTTTAAATCCACCATATTAATTCTACCATTTTCCTCAGGTAATGAGGGAAACTTTTGGGAAAATTTTTTTATACAAGTAGCTGAATTTCATAACTCCAATTTCTATTATTATGGTTTCATATATAAATTGTACTAGATCTCCCTCCCTAGTTTTGTACCCTGTTGCAGGATATTTGTTTACACTGTGTAAAGATATGTAATTGTGAATGATTTAATAAAGAGCTGAATGGCCAATAGCCAGACAGGAGAGACTAGGCAGGACTTCTGGGCAAATAGAGGAACTCAAGATGAATCTAGACACATGAGAGAAGTGCCAGCGAGACACTGAAGAAGTCAAACATAGGATAAAGAGGAAAGGTGACCAAGCCACATGGTAGAATGTAGTTTTTTTTAAAAATGAGTTAATTTAAGTTATGAGTTAGTTGAGAAAAAGCCTAAGATAAGGCCAAACTTTCATATTAATAAGTCTCCATGTCTTTATTTGGAAGCTGGTGGCCCAAAGGAAAGTCTGACTACAGTACCCCTTACCCTCTTCTCCAAATCTAAGCAAGGAAGACAGACATTATGCATTACTAGCCACCAACCCAACCAAAGAAGAATTAGGCCACAACTAAGCTGTAGTTGATTGGTTTATATTCTGGAGTACTTGGTATTAGTACATCCCCTTAATGTAAGTAAACACATCCCTGAGTTTTTTATGTAGGAAGTCAGATAATGAGCCTATTACTGTCATATTAATAGTGGGAAAAAAATCTTGTCTGTATCAGAACAGTTTACTTTTTCTACAAGCACCTTCAGGAGGACACAGAATGAAACAAACTATTGGGATGGTGGCAGAAAGCCAGATGGTATTATGTCCCACCACCTGCTCCTGCTATTGAAAGGCTGCTTCCTGCTGGTCTCCTCAGGGATAATTGCTTCTCAGATGTTCATCACTGAGAATACAAAAAGAACCAAAGATGTAGGACAGCCCTGAGCGCAACAGGATTTGCTGCAAGCAGAAGTCCCTGTTTATGGATTTGCCTGCTTAATGAATTTTATTTTGTTTTTAAAGATCAACAGGGTCAAATATCACAATTTCAAAAGCTGGAGATATCACTCAGTGGTTTACAATGCCTGTTGCTCTTTTTGTTGTTGTTGTTTGTTTTTGTTTTTTTGTTTTTCGAGGCAGGGTTTCTCTGTGTAGCTTTGCTCCTTTCCTGCAGCTCACTCTGTAGCCCAGGTTGGCCTTGAACTCACAGAAATCCTCCTAGCTCTGCCTCCAGAGGGCTGGGATTAAAGGCGTGTGTCACCACCGCCTGGCAATGCTTGTTCCTCTTACAGAGGACTGGAGTTTGATTTTCAATACCAATACTGGGCAGCTCACACTTGCGCCTATCTGAAACTTGAGGTCATCCTGTGCCCTCTTGTTGCCTCTGCAGACACCTGAACTCACATAAACATGCACAGAGAGACAATATGCACATACACATAATTCAAAAATAAAAGTATTTTTTAAAATTACAACTTCTTGGGTGACTTGTGGGATATGTACAGATGACTTGTTCTCCTAAGGAGAGGTCTTAGTCACTGAAGTCACATAACACAGAGCCCTGTCATCTCCTCTTTAAAGCTGGATATGTTATTAAGAGGTCCGGGTGTGGCTCAGAGAATTAACATTGCCATATTTGAGGATGTGATAAGAATACTTCAGCAGACAGCAGAACTTGGAGTTTAACTATAATTATTGTACATATCTGAAGTTCTCCAGAGAGGGGAGAGGACGAACTGGAAGTTACTCCACATACTCTGATGTCATTAATTTAACAGGGAAGGGGGTGAATACTCAAAGTAATTGTTATGTTTGAAACAGAACACAACTATAGGAATAAGGGATGTAGGTGGGAAATGTAATTTTAGCCCAATTGGAGTCAGGAAAAACGAAATACCTAAAGTAGGGAATTTTCTCTCACTTTGTTGGAGAAGAACCTGGAGAGGAATCAATTTAGAG